ACATGGGAGTGAGAATGGGTTGCCCATTCACACACTGATGATGGCAAACTACAGTGTAGCCACGGCTGCCCTGGGGCACACTGACAGAGGTGGGGCTGCCATGCACCGGCGCCACCGGACCCTCTGACCACCATCAGTAGGCAAGGTGGGTGAAGTGTCTTGCCCAAGGACACAACGACTGAGATGGCTGGACGGGGGATCGAACCAGCGACCTTCCGGTTCCAGGACGACTCCACTAACCACTCCGCCACAGTCATAAAATAATTTGTAAATTAGTGCATCACATGAGTAATGTATTCTTCCAGAATGGATGTACCTGTTTAAAAATATGGTAATGTACTTTGCCGAACCAAAACTTTCAGCAAGTTTCACATTTATCTAAACTCTAAACTGTTCACACAGCTTTCAAGAAAACGAGATCCTGCTGCAGGGCATAAAWTACTAAGGAGCGCTGAATAACAGTTTAGATGAAATGCTCGAAGAGCGACGTGTTCGAGCAAAAGAAACCCCACACTTCGATGTCTTTCGGACTCCCYGTTGCAGCCATTAGGTTTCCCACAATGGCCCCAATCAGTGTGGTGTGTTTAGGCGTTAATAATAGCTTGTGATTAGGTACAGTATGAGCGCTAGCCAATGGCCCTGGCAGTGTTTCAGATGTTTTCATTAGTGTCTGGTTAGTGTCTGGGGAACTGGAATTGTGGGCTGCCCTCGTTCACTGCTACATTGATCACAGCACCATGCAAACAATAAGAGGGGAGTTTTTATAGGAGATGCCAAACACACGGGTGATGAACTGGAACAGACTGGATGTATGTGTGTGTTTGAGAAAGTGAGAAAAACAGTGCTCATATCACATACAATATGTGAAAGATCCTAAAATAACAGAGTCTTCAACAAGAGGATCGTGCTGACATTTCCCAGTGGGCTTACGGTTCATTAGCACAGTGAAGTGGGTCACTACATTCAAATTCTGCACAGAGCCTCCATGCTCGATCACAACACAGATCCTCAAACGCCGCTGACTAACTGGTGACTTTCAGAGGCACCTTGCTAAGTCTAATATCACATATAATTACACCAATATGATCAAGCAATCCGCTGATAAGCAGATGGTTCGTTCAGACATGTCGAACAGAGTTTGCACGTGTCTTATTAATCATCCATCTGTCTCACTGTGACACACCTGTTGCCTGTTTCATGGTGTTTATGAGCTCTCTGTAGGTTTGGCTTTGGTGTTAAAAATCTAATATGAATCTAAATGCATGTGTTTAAGTGACTGCATGTGATTTATGCACATCTGGGAAACATATGGAGCTAAAGAGTGATCAAACTTATGCCCGAGCTAAAGAGTGATCAAACTTATGCCCGAGTCCAAGCTTTGATGTCTGCATGATGGTGATTCGGTCCGATTGGTATTATTCATCTTCCTGCAGGTGATTTCTTTTATGTGCAACATGCACTTCAAGGGCTTCAGATGCCTGAAGTCAGGTTTTTTTTCAGTTGCATTCAATATTTATGGCTGGATAAGTATGAATCAATGTGTACACTGAAAAGAAAGTAAACATTSATGTATAAATTACATTTGGGGTTTAGCTGTTCTGCTTCTGCAAGACTATGAAGTTGTGTTTTGATTGATTTTCTTTAATTTTATTTTCAGAAAATAATTATTCGATGCACATCTACAGCTGATAACTGGTTGAAGCCAGCACAAKTGAAGATGGCTGTCACAGTCAACTATATTATCCTATTTCAGCAGGCAATAAACATTCTGTCAAGATATGCTAGGTCTTTTATTCCCCAGCTTGTGTTTAAAGTTTTACAATTTTTGACTTTTTAAAGTAAATGTCRCCCATTTAGAACAATAGAGCATAGAAAGTAAAACATGCATAGATCTACATGTTTCTATTAAAGATGTTTCTATTAAAGAGGGGTATTATTCAAAATCCACTTTTTTGAGCTTTATATCATGTTATGGTGTCATTCCTTCATCGTAAACATACCCAGAGTGTTGCTTCAACTCATTCATGTATGTTTGAGAAATCCTTGAATCTCCTGTAGCCATGTGGAGCTGCCTAAACATACGCTGGTACAAAGCTCCGCCTATTTACACAAAGCTCCTCCCTGGAGAGTCTGCAGCCGAGCTCCCGCCCCACAGAGCACCCCTCCCCCCGTAGCATTGTTGTGAAGATGTGCTGAAGTGGGAATGTCAGAAATGGTAGAAGGTTCTTAAAGAGACAGAGGCCAATTTCAAAGTGTWTAGACTATGATGCAAAGTCAGTTTTATTTTTAATATGTACAGCATTCACAACTTACATAGTGAATTGATTGTGGTATAGAATTGAAGTATGTGCCTGGAAAATACACTATACCCCCTTTAACTAGCAGAAAACTATAAAAGCTAAGATCAGAACCATTAAGATAAATAAAAAGAAAAAAAATAGACAAATACAAAAGAGAAATAGAGAAAAGTGACATAAAGAACGTACCGGTGGCCAAGTAAATGATGTGGAACAGCCTGTCCTTGCCCTGCACCACATCCACTGCGATGTGAGTGAAGCGAACGTTGTCCTCCATGAAGTACGGCACCGGCACCACGGGCTGGACCACCTCATGCATCAGCAAAAACTTCTGAGCGTCCTGCAGGTTCCGCTGGGTCAGATTCACATAGGAGCCRGAGTTGATGGTGCCACACTGTGGAGGTTGAGAGGGAAAAAAAATTAAAGAAATAATCAAACGCTTTGGCTCACTGCATTGATAAAGCTCTTAAAGGGTTTCAAGTTAATAAGCTTTAGATTCTTTGTTCAGAAATCCCACCAGAAATAGAAAACAAAGGGGCTGAATGATTAATTGAACAAGGATTTAAAGCCAATTGCTGCCTCTTTGCGTTGGTTTGATATCATCCCAGCCTTAAGGCTCAGCAGTCACTGAGGCTGACAGAAAGAAAGAGACTGATGAATGTTTGACTGAGTGGGTAGTTATCTCTTTTATTAGCTCTCTCCTCATATGCATATATATTACTAGTAGGTTTTATGGGTACTCGAGTAACAATGTGCCACGATTGTGCCATTTTTTACCTCTAAAATAATAACTTATATTGGTTTTAGAGGCTTTATTTTTGTCAGTGAGTAAAGTTTCTTTTAAATAAATAATGCATAACAAACAAAGAAAGGTTTAAAACAACTTACATATTTAGGGGCAGGTTAAAAGAAACTGGTCATGATGACATAAAGTGAAGTGGCACAAAGTTATAAAATAAAATATTAAACATGAAAAATATGTTTAGATTATAGAATGTGTTTAATAAAATTACCTCCCTCCAACTGAGACTTTAAAGAAGAAATTAAATGAAACTTTTACAGTGTGTGTCTAAGGACAGTTTTTTTTCTTGTCCTGGAAACACAAAAAAATATTACTTTAAAATTTTGCATTCAYAATTGGTTTTACTTCATGGAACATATAACGGCACCTTATGGTCACAGTGAGTTATGTTAATCTAAACCCTGCATATTGCACACTAGTCATCAGACTCAAATGTATAATGTGCCTTTTTGTTATGTAGYCACAGTCCAGTGGCAATTAAGTTTTCAGGAAAAGCTTCAAAGATGAATATGAATTTTGCTTTTTTTGATAGATGAACCAATTGAAATGCCATGCAATCTCTTGAACGACACAAGTATAATTGTTTTAATGTTTTTATATATCAAAAACGCTCAGGCTCCACAAAGTACGATGAAAATGGTGCTATTTGAAAAGCAGGACAAGTGAGCTGGATGAGTAAAGCGAACCACGCATGTCCTTCTCAGTAAAGGATTTTTGGATAAATCCTCAAGTAGACTTGGGTTAGACTACAAGAGGACACACTGACCACATTTCTTCATTCTTCTGCTGTTGTCACTCTCTTATTAGATCTATGCAATTATAACTTCTGTCAATGTGTGTTTTCCTTGTTTTTCTTTCAATACAAATTAAACCTGAACCAATTCATCTGAGTTTATGTCTTTTTTCTCTCCTCTAAACCCTCAGCTGGTCATTAAAGATGGACATACTGAGCATTTCTGTAAAAAAAAAAAGACATTCCTTTCCTTTCTCGGGACGATGGATTGAAACGAATTAAAGATTTGACACAATCTGCTGGCTTCCTTACATATAGGTCTTTTATCAAACTGTCATTTCATATTATTGTGTTATAATAAAAAAGAAATGACTAAGTGGATTTGAAGTGGATTTATAATGACTGAGATGACCTTTGCTGTGAACTGGCGCAACATAAATAAGCCGAACTGAGTTGAGTTGAATAAAAGTGAGACTGAACCATGGGTGGTGATTTGCTGCTGGTGACCAGCTACAGGGGCAGCAACCTGGACACTTTATAAAGATCAATCCTCGGCCTTGAYTGAACCGACAGCTGAGAATCATGAAGAACTTCCCCATGCAGGTAAACGGATCAGTGCCCTCGCCACATCAGGAGGGGGGGAAAATTACAGTCTTGAAGGACTTGGACAGCTTGCACCGCGTGGGCAAGTGTCTCAAACGAGCATCCTGCTAATGGCAAAAACGTATTAAATGTGTCTTGAGTGGAAAGTTCAGTAAGTTGCCTTTCTGTGGCAAGCATTTGCATAAACGTGCAGCAATCCTAAAGAAGCATGAGAGTGACTGCACTTCTCTAGCAGTGAGGAAAAGTCAGGTGCTGACCAGTGAGAGGCTATTACATCTGTAAATGCACAGYGAGATGGATGTTATGATTTCCTCAGTACAGTCAAGGTGAGGGACACAACCATCATTTGGCTGAGGGCCCATCCAACACTCAGCTGTCCTCCTCTCATCACCAGGGCAAAGTGCTCTGCCAAGATGAGAAGTGGCACTCTGAAAAATGATTGTTTTACAGCATGCATTTTCCAAATGGTCTTGTTTTTCTTTAAAATGAAAGGGAAACTAAGTGTCCTAATGGCATTGCATTTTCTTGTTTATGTTGTCTTTTCCCAGAAACTAAATACTGATGTTGGGTTTGATTGTAATCACAAGTTAGATTCACAATAATGTGGAAAATGACATTTTAATTTTATTGCTTTCATTGTTGCACAACTTAAAACTAACATAGATAGGCAATGGATTTTTTAAATTTTTTTTGTAATAATCAATTACAGGAGAGCAGACAACCTACACAACACAAARGTGGTATTAGTCCATAATGCACAATGAACATGACTCATAGCCTGAATAAAGCTTACAGGATCAATTTGTGTGGTTTAAATAAATGGGAGGATTTTCTCTGCAGACTTGAAATTAAGCTTTCAATCAATGCCCAGTGTGTGTGAACTGAGAGAAGAGTCCACGGTCATAATTATCTTTGGCATGGCAGCTATAAGCCTGTATTCTGAGGGAGTTTGGTGTACCATAGATGCACAGATAGCCAGTGGCTTTCTCGGCTGCTGGTTCCATTTAGGTGTTTGTGCCTGAACATGTGTGAAAGTCTGTGTGCAGGAATAGAAAAAAAAGAAAAGAAAAAGATGAGCCATAAATCCTGCGGTCATAAATCTAATCCTGCAACATTGACAAATGCTTGATGAAGATGYCACTGAAACCTAGATTAAGTGTGTATTGGTCCAGCGGTGAAGAGCAGCTATTGTACCCGAGCCTAAGTAGGAAGATGGGGACAGAGGCGAGGAACTGATCCGTGTTTATCCTTGAGGAACACATTCATAAAAAAAAAAAAAAACACTATACGGTGCACAGAAACTCTTTGTGATGTACCTTGAACAGGATGGATCTGCGGTCAGATCTCTTCAGAATATTTGTTTTCATAAAGTGCAGCCGCTGACGTGCAGGTATGTGAAAGCACGATGACGGAGAGCTGCATTTTGTGCCACCGACTCTCTGCTGTTTGTGTTGTTTTTTTTCTTCTTCTGAACATTCCATCCGCTTTTTTTCCTGCATGAGCAGGTACATTATAGATAATGCACGCGTGTTCGCTCGTGCTGCCTTGACAGAAACCCGATCGCAGCCCCGTGACGGGGGAGGGGGGACGTGTGGGGAAGTGAGGTGTGTGTCACCCATTGGCACCCAAACCTCAGAGGGAATTCATTTCCTCGTGCAGAGCGGCGTGGATTAGGCCTCCCTCTCTATCTGCTAAGCCTACAACAACTGAGAGCCACTTGTTCTGCTAATAACGCATTCCTTCCATGTCATCAGTGTGGAACAGCGCTTTAAATCAAATAAAAAGCTTGGCTACACCACTTCAGGCTTTAAGATGGAGTATAAACATAAAGCATCACGTCTGCAAAACAAGTCTAGGGAGAACTACATAAAGCATCTTTGAGGAAGTACACTTGTTTTCACTTTCATGGTGGCAGGTGATCCTGTAGTTGCCTGTGTCTCTGTGTTCATTTGCTTGTCTGTTAGCTGTGCTTCGAGGATTCAGATTATAGTGCAGTCCATAAGAGGGTCATGAACTGATCAAAAGAAGAAATTAATGTGTAGTGCTTCTCAGTGTGAGTTACACTGATCAGTGTGAATTATTTATCATGATACATGAAAAATCTCATTAAATGCACCTATGGATTCACATATTTTCTTGTTAATAACTAGGTTTTTTGAGTGTAAATCAATTTTTGAATGAAAAAAAAAGGAAGAACTGAGCTTGCATAGATTATAAAACCGGCTGTTTTTATTCCTGTTAGCCTCGCGGCCAGAAGGGTAAAAAATGTGTTTTGGTTCCATATTTTGATCCAGATGGATACGCTTCTACCATTGATTTTAGTACAGATCCCCAGAGGGTGAATTTGACTCACTGCATCACAAACACAAGGTTGTCACTTTCATTTTGTGCTGAGTCGCAAAAAGTGACAATCGAGAAAAGTTTCTGTTGCCTCCATCAAGTAGTACTGCAATAATCTTTCTGAACAACTTTAATTTTATTTAAAACAATCAGCCTCAGTCATAGATCTTATGACTGAATGTTGATTCAGCATTTTTTAACTTAGCTTTTGTTGATTTTAGCTTTTTTTGTGTAGCTTTAGTGATTCATTCCTACACAAACTTTTTCAGTCGTTTAGCACTCAGCTTTCATACAGCATTTCCCAGAAAATGCTAATGGGGACCTTAAGTCAGACTATTTTTAGAACACTAATCACGTGACCATGTCCGCTCGACACCGATGCACGTACAATCTCTCGAAACAGCAATCTGTGCATAAACCTAATTAAATTCAGGAAAACAGTGTCAAACTCCACCAGGAGGACCACAAAACATTGTGCTAAGATTCTTGCAAGTATGACTCAGGATACAAAAAAGGAAAGGAGTATTTTCAATCACTTTTCCCAAGCTAAGATGCTAAGCTAACTGCTGGATTCAATGGGACAAGTTGAACTTGACCAGAAAAAAGTGATGACTGAACATCTGCTCCAAACAATAAATTGGAGGTAAAATCCCAACATTGGACCACCTGGATTCTATCTCTGTACTTTCTGTTGATAAACAGGTAGGCTACAGTAAACCTTATTGTTTTTATTGTAGCCTAATGCTAGCATTACTCATAGTGTTCATGCTAACCTCATACAGCGATCTACTGCAGTCAGTCACACATGCGGTGATAATATACGTACACGAATCCTAAACATCACCATTATTTTTATTTAAATGACGCAGAAGTTGTGACTCGAGCGATAAAAACACACAGACAATAGATGTGGCAAGATATAAGACACGATAAAAACACTAAACTTTTTAACAAYYCCACTTGATTTCCAGGTTTGTCAAAGACCTCGACCCTCCACCCAACCTTTCAACTGAACTTTTCTGYGATTCCTGAAGTYGGTTGTGTCAAAATCTGCTCTAGAAACGTCTTTTACTGTTACAGTAATAACACTAACGCTCAGTAGAATCCAGTCCATCTGTCTGATCTTTGGAGCAAGTGGAAGATAATGTATGCAAATTATATGTGTGATGACACCAGTGAAGGTCCCCATTTTCTTGTTGACGAAGACAAAAATGCTAAACTAAAATGGTGAAATATGACACTGCAAAACAAAAATCTTATAAGCACTGTCATATTTTTTGCTCAAAGATGCAAACATACATAACTGGAATATAAAACAAAAGGAAACAAACAAAGAAATAAAGGACAATATAATGTAGTTTTAGACACATTACCTGAAAGTCAGGGTTTGGATTGGGGTACGGCAGCCAAGCAGASCGTGAGTTCTCCTGGAACTTAAAGGGCCCGTTGAAAACCTGCGATATGGCACTGAGATTGAAGGCACACACTGCAGACGCAGCAATGCTGTTTCTGATTGTTGGGAACACAAACAAAAAGCAGACACACAAAAAGTAGCGAGATAAGTAAAACAACAAGGAGGTCAGAAACACAGTGAGAAAAATAAATAAATCATAGACACTCAAGTAGAAAATGGTTCAGACTTTCACTCATATTTGAAGAGATCACTTCTGTTTGTTTGCACCAGGAACAGAAATCAAACGCGGAGCAAACAGACACTCACCTGGGCGTACGGGATTGCCATCATTAGATTATAAATCCAACAGCAGGACATGATTAAACTGCTCGACGTGTGTTTTACGGTATAGATCTCAGAGCTAAAATACAGCTTTGACTTTCTAAGCTGTCAGTTTCAACAAGTACCGGTCGCCTCCCTGGTAAGAGAAAGTAAAGAATGAGAGTATTAACTCTCAACTCAAACTGCGAGAGTCGGGCGATGTGAATTACAATCCGGTGCAGCTGTTCATTAAACACCGTGCCTGCGGGGGGAAATGTTTCCAATACCCTTCAAAAGGCTTTTTTTTCCAGCTATGTGAAAGCATTGACCATAAAGAATTGATTACTCAGCTTTAATAATGGCCTGAGTGTGCAAGTGTGTGGTTGTAGATGTGTTTGCTAAAGGTAAAAAAAAAAAGAAAGAAAAGGACAGCAAAGCAGCAGAGAGAGCAGTGATGCTTCTCATACTGCAGTAAATATGAATATGAGCTTTCAGTACAGCTTTTTTTTTTTACAGAATACAGTAAGGACAGCGATTATGGACTTTGTCGTTATCAATTTTATTTGACCTTTAAAAAAAGCACCAAAAGAAAAGTTTTTTTGAGTATTATTATGCTTTTATTTTGTRGAGAGTAGCTGAAAAACCTGGTTATAAACAATGCAGCATACTTTGCAGACATCACCCTTCATCCGTTTAAGCTATGGATAATCATTTTCTCATTCCCCTGTGGATTTATGTAGTCTTCTTTTTTTCCTGTTTGTTTATTAATATTTCTATTTTGCTGGCAGACTATGCTTGTTAGTGCCATTACAAAATAAGAATCGTATAGCTGCTGTCATGCGTCAGAAGGACGCTGGCAGCAGGTGCTTCTCTGTTTGAAAAGCTTTGGAATGGTAGAATTAGAGCAAGAATGTTTCTGTCTATATTAATATGATATACTTTCCTTTGCCTTAATATTATCCTCTTGTAGAGAGAAAATTTCAAAAAAATCATTAGAGGTTAACTTATTAATTTCTTTAATTTTTTTTCACAAAAGTTTCGTCCAGAACTTGGAAACGATCACTGAAGATCTTTACGTTTTAATAGGTTCCTTCAGAAGACAGTACTGCTAAATAGGCGACCCATTCTTGCCGGCACACGTGAGTACAGACATGTACCTATTTTCTAGTTAGGTATAGATCACGTGTCAAAATCAAGTCCTGCAGGCCAAATGTGCTGCTGCATTTTATGTGGCTTGCGAGAGCTTCAAAATTGTATTAATCTCTTAAAATATCATACGCTGCTTTAAATCCATGAACCACATCTCCTGTAATTTGTGTTGACTATTTTACCAGTGAAATTTAAAATTTAAGGTATATCAATTTTATTAAAAGCAAAATAAATTCTACATATAATAGAAGAAAAAAAATGACAGCAACGATGAACTGACAGCATCCCACCACTAGGTGGAGGTGCACAGGTTTAAAAGCAGCAGGCAGTTGGTAAAATTTGCTGTGTAAAGTCTCTGTTTGGCTACATTTTTGTCAGTGGGTAAATTCCCACTTCCCAGTACATCTGGGCCGTTACAAAAGTAGCGGCCCAGTGAGTAAAACTCTTACTTTTAAAAGCATTTCTCTATTATTTATTCCATATTTAGTCAGTCGTACATGTAGTACTTTTCAGTGTTTTATAAGCAGACATGTTCAAACACTGTTTCTATGCAGGAAATACCATGTAAAGCTCAGTWACTGTTWTGCTCATTTGGCCCKCAGTGAAAATGAGTTTGACACCCCTGCTATTGATGCTAAAATTGCAACTATGTTGACAATTATACGGCTTACATTTAGAAACAAACCGTGAATGTTCAAAGAGTAACAAAAATATATTGCTTGCGCTCTGAAAAAGAACTTCACATTAAAAATAAATAAATATTGGAGGGAAGATTTGCTAAAACATTTGATAAAAACTYAGTGCAACTCACACATTGGTTGTAAAGATGCCGTAGAGCAGCTCCAGCTCRGGCAAATAGAACGTGCCCTGAAGCTCGTTGTAGTTGAACGGAATTTCTCCTGGTCTGGAGCAGTTGAGTCTGGCCTTCATGAAGGTGGTCCACGTGTCCTCCAGGAGAAAGCGGCCGCCGATGTCGTTTTTGCAGACTCGCCCGGCCCGAGAGAACACCGTCCTGCCACAGTCGTGCTCCACTGCGTTCTCCCGGAAGAAGAAGTAGGTGAAGTTGCCGATGTCGTAGGAAGACACAAAATTCGGCTCTGTTGAGGAAAAAGACATCAAAGGCGAGGAAAAACTGAATGAGAGCTAGAAGTTTGCAAAGAAAGAAGACTTGATGACAGGGAAGAGAATGATGAAGTGTTTAAATATGAAGACAGATATAGACAGAAATATATTTAGGGCTATGGGAGTCAGGAGTGGGAGAGCAATAGGCTGCATGATATGAGTGATCGGTTCAGTGTGTGTGAGCGTGCGGCCCACACAACAGCAGGTGATCAGGATTAATAACTACAGGCGGTGTTATTAATGACACAGTATCGTACTAAGAAAGCTCATTTTTCACTCCCCAAATCTAAAGGTTGGGGTGAGAAATGACCAAAACAGGTGTAGTAATAGCCCTCACCTCACCTGAAACACGCGGCCTTCCTGACACCGTCCAGGGAAAAGGCGCTTGTCTTTACGTATGACATTATTGAATCTAAAATACACACTTTAATCTCGCTGACAGTGATTTAATTCGGCTTTAAATGAAAGTGTCCCCTCCCCCTCCCTCATTATAGACCCCTTTTTCAACTCGGCACCTTCAGAGAGCGGTGCGGGAGGAGACAGATGAGGAAAATCAATTCCCCATAAAATTAGTTATTAAGCCTTCTCCCAGAAGGTGGCTGCCAAGCGATGTATGCGGTAGTTTAAAATTTATTTTTTTCCCGATTGGGCTTAAATGTGAACAGCAGTGGGAAGTGGGGGGGGTCACCTGCTGACAAGATAYGGACTGACATGCTCTTCTGTAGGCTGGACATCTTAAGATTTCTGAAGACTCCGAGCTTTCTGAGAAAAAAAAACMWTKRWTTTTTTTTTCCTCCTCACACTTTATAGTTAAGTTCTCCTCTTTAAAGAAAGGGTAACGTTTTTTATTTATCTCACAATGACTTTCCAGTTGCCAAGTAACTGTTGATTTTTTTTAAATAAAAGGCAATTGAACAATAATGAAAAGAAGATGTTCCTGAGCAATTTCTGCACTCCATTGTGTAGCACAGTGGTGGTTTATGGGAGAATGTAATCCCTGATAAAAGACAGCTTTATATTCTCCGTGTTAAATAAGCATCTGTCATGGTCAAGCTTTCTTTACCAAAAAGCCTTTTTTTAAAGCTGTTAAGGAAAAGCTGACAAAGAAAACCACCTTCATAATGTGTCAACTTAAAGCAGCGACGTCTGCTTGTGTAGCCTAGCAACTTCAAAAAAGGTTCAATTTGTTGAAGTGGGATTCTGTGAAAAAGGTCAAGAACACCTAACATCTTACCTGTTGTAGATAGCTCCTTGAGTGACGTTAATACTGGATGAATTGATGAGGTTACGGATAAGGACAAAGTGAATTGCTATTATATTAAAATAACTCCWGTTCCATAGAATTTAATTTTTTTTGACAAATCACCATTCATTTTTCTGTAAATAAAATAGTAATGAAAAGCAAAGATGGGTTATTATGTCTTTTCCTGAGTCTGTTAAGACGTTCCTATAGTAAACATTGGATGCACTATAATTAACTATTAATATTGAAGTTTGCTACTGGATCACTGGACAGATTTTAATGAAAATTTTAGGAAATACTCACTGGATGGAAGTCAACTAAATTCAAGATGGCCACCACAACCAACTGACCTGAGAACCCACAAACATGGGTTTAACTCAGTCAATTTAAAATAATATTGCACTAAAGTCTGAGATGAGCATCACCCAGTGCACTAAATATTTACTTAAAACTTTCACATTAACTGTTGAACTTAACCCTGTTTGACTGTTAGAAAAATATTGCCTGGAATTTTTGATGGATTTTCAGATCCGAGTCATTTACTGTSAACTAATTTGCAGAGCAAATCCAGTTCAATAGTCACCACAGCTAATCAAAACCAATAGGTTAAAGTCTTATAGCTAATATTCACCTTGCAAATTATTTAGAAGATTACAGAGACATTATTTTCAAAATTTGACTAAAACAGCTACAACTGTCATTTCTCAACATTAGAACATCTTGGTGTAAAACTCCAGCATGAAAGGCAGCACTGATATGCATTTCTTCAAGGAGTGCTAGGTCTTTAAATACATTTAAAAAATAGCAAAAAATTGCTATAAAACCAGCTGTGTTTCCATTGCAAATGTGCACAAAACGTTGTCGATATTCTGATAATGTTGAAAAACCACAGTGTTGCAATTGTGGTGTTTCCATTAAGTAAGAAATGCTATTAAAGTCACGCATGGATACATTTGTTCTCGCGATAAGTCATTACAAACATGGCGGCCATGGATGTAAACACATAGCATATTGCTACCACGACACTGGCGCCTATCATCAGCCATCAGAGGACGCGTCGGCATCTTATYGAAGCTTTCGAGCGACAAGCCCCTTATACTTAGGAGCGGCTACGTATGTGGCATTTTGGGGAAATTGTAGTCGGTGAGTTTATTACTTTCTTTTACAACTTTGTTGATTTCACTACTACTTCTACTTCCTGTTGTCTTCTTCGTTGTCATCTTTTTCGCCAGTATAAACAGCTGGTTCTTGATCAAGTGACTCCCGTGATGCGAAAAAAATGTTTCCATTGCAGTTTTGCAAAACACACCAATTTCGATGCAGCCGAAAATCCACCTCATCCAGTGCAAAAACATTTTGTCGAAAAAAGGAAGTTTTTTTTTAAATTGATGTGTTTCCATTGAGCAAATTTAGTTTTGAAATTCTAATTTGTGCATTTTTATGGTCAGTGTAAACGCAGCTAGTGACTTTGTTTTATAGATAACAGCAATCCACGTTCATAACTCATCTATGAAGGCCAAAACTGAACAATTTATTCCAACTGAAGTCATTCAGAAAGATATCTACAACAGCAGGTAAGATATTAACTATTCCAAAGAACCAAACTTAGATGTAAGAATAGACTTTGGTTTGTACCGTTGAGCCACTTGGAGTTGTACTGGGCCGTGCGCAGTGGAGGCATACCGCCCAGGCTGCGGTAGATGGCGGGGTCTCGCCCAGAGAAGTCCATGGCCGTGGCAGCGTACAACTCTCCGTTGGATGTGATGAGGGCGGTGGAGTTGTGGAGAGGATTGTAGGGACACCGGGCCATTCCGCTGATCTGATCATGGATCTCGGTCAGGTTGGTCAGCTGCAGTGCAGGGGACATAAAAGCATGAAACCAGACTGAAAATGAAAGCCGGTCATAATGACAAAATAGCAGGACTAGAAGAAGACATCACCTTGATGCTATCACTGGGAGATGATTTTGATTGTTAACAACATGAGTATCCCAGGAGATCAGAAACAAAAGAGTTTGCATAAAAGTGAGACTCGCTGTGTGCTTGTTTTTTGTGGAAAAACAACCAAATTATATAAGACAAGATATCAAAGGGCAGCATTAAAATGCAAACCAGAGAACTGCAGTGATGTTCTGTTTGTTCTAGCCAATATGCAAATGGTACAGACTACAAAAAATACTTCTTCTCATTATATTTGGTTTTGTTTACATCAACTGAAGCACACAGATATGTAGGGCCCAAACCTTCAGAAGCCAGAAAYGTAATTAGAGAACGCATCCAGAATAATTAGCAACATAAAACAAACACAGCAGCTTCCTTTAGAATAATGTTAAGAAACCACCTGTTCCTGGGCAATAAACTTCATCTCGTCTGAAGTGTTTTGATGGTTTTGTTTCGGGTGTCTCGACAGGACAAGCAGCTGCTTTCCGGGCYAGAACACCATTATACCACATCTTTGAGAGGCCTTTCTGAGCTCAAAAGAGGCTTGATGTGAGATGCAGTCTTCTGTTGCAAACCGCCTTTGAATATAAAGCCAAATCCAATCCCCTGCTTTTTAAAAATACTTTACAGCTTGACCTTGGGTTAGCCCTGACAGACTGCACTTGTTCCTCCTTAAAAGAGAAAGTACACAGGCCAAAGCTCAGTGACTCATTTCCAAATAAAAAAATAAAAATTAAAAAGGGGAGTTTTGCCATTTGCAAATCAAAGATGCAATTATGTTTTATGGCGCAAAAATAATCACCACTGCCATTTGTGTTCTGAGGGTAAAAGGTCTGTTCTAATCTCAGGTTTAGAAATGCACAAATAATTAAATATTCTTGATGCAATTATTTTTCTATCAGTCAAGTTCTACATTAGTGACCGTTGATGGAGAGAAAGAGACTCAGTTTCCACCAGCCTGTCAATTTGGATCAAAAAGTCRTCCAACTCTTGCTCTAACCCCACCTCCAGCCCACAACAAAGCAGAGCAGGCCTGTCTCATCTCTGCCAGGCRGAGATGAAAGCCCCATATTGACAGGATTGATTTGCTTGGCAGGAATAGTCCCTTTTAGGTCAATAGGGTCATTGAGAAAAACAAGAGGATGAGTGATAAATAGACTGCAGTTGACCCGATGCATTTTGAGGAAGTAGAGTCAAAGTCGCCTCTATGGTGGAGCGAGCAGCTGCACAAGCAGGACACTGAAGAGACTTTATAGGGATTTTTTTTTWAAAGAAGGAAACCGCTCACAGTTTAGACCAACTGCAGAGAGAGCCATTTGGGCCCTATGTATAGTGACACTAAGAGGTTCTAACACCTGATCACGACAGGAGCTCTAGTTACACATTCACACTGTGTGATCAGAGATGTGGGCTGTCAATATTCCACGGTGAGTGTCAGGAAACTGACACGTCATGATCACAATCTGTCAAGTAAATATGAATAGAATATATCACACGGAACTTGATTTTCCCCGCTTCACCTCGCTCCTGAGCAAACTTTCCTCAAGAAAACCCTTTATGAGCTGTCATCTCAAAAGTAAACAACTGCAACCCCNCTTTTTTTTTTTTCCTCCAATTTCTCTCTCTTTAGTCCAGACTCCATAAAAAGCAGCTCCGCACTGCAAGCTAATTACTCTGCAGGTACAATTTTTGAGTTGGTTTTGTTCAGAAAGCAGTTATGTATGGAGAACGTGATTTGTCAAATGCGTGTATGTAAATTTGACTGCTGCTGAGCGTGGCTTTTAATGCAGCTAATGTGACTGCGTGGAGTTCAGACTTGAAGATATGTAAATGCCCCTCAGCCCAAGTTCAAAAAACGAGCTATGTGGCTAAATGTCACTGAAAAAAGGACCAGGGCGCTCATTCGTACATGACATAGAAAATTTTAGCTGCTGTCGGATTAGTGAAAAGCACTGCATGTGTGAAAGAGGCTTTAAAATCAAAACTCGTACACTCTAAAAATAGCCTGGTAGAAGTTCTTCGTACCGTTCGGTTGGTGCAGATGGGTGTGAATGCGTTGGTTCCACAGGTAAACAGCCGGTTTCCATTTACCAGCAGCACCCTGATGTAGTTCTGACACTCCTCCTGCAAAAACACAGAATGCAGTTAGCAGTTAGAAGCGTTTCCATTATCTACCCACTGGCAAGCAGCAGCATTAGGCAGAGGGGCCAAATTACACTTTATGCCAATAAATAGGAAAAGCACCTGGAACACCAACAGGGCTGCGCCGAAACGTGGCCAAGTTACACAGAGTCAAATCAAGGCTAATGCCTACACGGCTTAGAAGTGTCACATCTTAATTCAGCTGGGACAAGATCTGGAGAGGAATCTTAATACAGCGGAGACCAGATAAACGCAACAGGTGTGGGGGAGAGGGCCACTCAGGATTAGTTTAGAAAATTGCCTCCAGCTTTGTTGGCCGGTCAGAAAGAGACATGGAAATTGTCTCGTACACTTCTTTCAATCATTTTTCTCTTTAGCCTGCTGCCTCCGCTAATCAATTCACACCACTTTTCTCTAAATTTAGGGTGAAGTACATGCTCACCAGTCTTTTCTTGGCTCTTTACTCTTCTCTGGGTGTCAAGAAAAAAAACACACACACACACACACACACACACACACACACACACACACCACCACCACCACCACCACCCACAAAAATAAATCAAACACATCCACAAAACATATTTCCAGTTTGTTTTATAATAAGTTTCTGGACTGCATAAAGAAAAACAGATGCTGTTTGGCGCAATTAAACCCTCCCAGACCAGGAGGACATAATGAAAGTGGATAATTAAGGCCAGTCAGTCGACCATCAGATGGTTAACAGCCGTTTTATCAGCAGCATCTGAGCTCATTTTTATAGTAAATGGTTCACACTTGTATAGCACCTTTTAATGTTGTTTAGCCTCAACAAAGCGCTTTATAGTGTGTCTCATTCAACCGTTTGCACACTCCAGCAGCCTTTTTTTATTGCATGACTCGCGCTCCATATTAACGTGTTAAAATTGTTTATTAAATGATTAACATTCTCATCACAGCTGATAGCAATTCTGTCCGAGCGTAATTCCACTGATGTCGCCGTTCCCGGCCCGTGTTCCACATTAACAAAGATCCAGCTTGTAAATATGACAGCTCCCAATGAAATACTGCTGTAATAATGTCATGGCATTTCAACTATATGTATTTTCGCAGCGGTAAACAGTCATTATGAGCCGCTGACCTTTGGATGCGGTGCTCTYGGTCCAAAACAAATGTCATCATAACAGTAAACTTGTGTGTCACCCACTTCTAAAAAAAAAAGGGAAAAAAAATCCAACGGAGTGAAATGCAGATTTGTGRTATGGACTTATCGCAGTTCCAAGGTGAGAACAATAGTCTGGCACTTTAAGTGTTGCTTTGTTCTTAAAATCATGGAGCAGCTGTTCCCAACAGTATAATCTCTCAGACACTTCAGATACACAAAARCAGATATTATCACAGCTGCAGTGAGATTAAACCTGTGGTTAATACGCAAGGGAAATGTGGGGCTGCCTCTAGTGCGCCAGGATCCTGCTGAAACAAAGCAGCAACTCAAAACCAAAAATAAATTCTGAAGAAATTTTAGAAGAACAGTTTTACTGCCAAAAATTCTAACATAACTGAAGATTACATTTTGATGATTTAAGAACTGTATAAAAAGTGTAAAGAAGGAGGATCAAAAACATGTTAAATCTGCTGCTTCATGAAGGCGACCATGGTGACCACATCTGTCTGTCACTCCCTGACTGTCAAAACGAGACGAGTCAAAAGTTTGATAGTGACATCAGCTGTCAATTGAACAGTCTGGAAAAAGCTGTAAAAATCATGATAAAATGTAACTGTGCTTGTGTAAATACAGAAAGAGTCAAATCAGACATGTAGTCCAACTTTCTGTGACCAATTTGAACAGTGAATTTTTCTACAGTAAATCTGTGATAATCTATTTTTTGTAAAGTTTATTAAATTTAATTAATTAAAGCAAAACAAAGTTCAACCATAACACAAACACAATAAGTTCCATCTGATTTTAATTTGAATTCTGAGCAATTTTTAAAAATTTTGCAAAAAGGATAAAATGAAGAAACACGAATCAGACGTGTTTCCATCAACTGGCTTGAAGCTAATCAGTTTTGTAAGATGCATGCGTGTAGTATACAGGGAGTAAAAGTTGCATCTCGGGAAAATGGAGAGAATTTATCAGGAACGTGTTGCTACTATCAGGAAAGTTGTATTTATTCTGTCATCAACTAGTTTTGGCGATTTTACATGCGGTCGGGAGACGTAGAGAAAGAAAGGCAGTTCTTTTCACATTATGGGAGTAACTGTGAATACGCCAACAGCGGGAAGAGGGTCCTGCTGCAGACGCGGGTGCAGTCACTCTGGTACCGGTACCGGTTTCAGACAGTGAGAACAGCTGATCAACATGAAGTAAATGTTCGCTACATCAGAACTGATTCGGCAAATGTGTTTCCATCTCTCCTTTTGCGTATTAAGTCTTTTTCAAAAAAACCCAAAAACTACCTGGAGCAAGTGTATCAACTTTGATGCGAATTACAGGAAGTTTTTTCGAATCAAGCGGTTTCCATCCACCTTTTCTGACGTGATACTTCAAAATGCGCATTAAAAAACCTTGATGGCAACAAAGCTAATGTAATCTGAGGTAAAAGCTACAAAAAAGTGGGATCTCTCCCGTGTTTTGCCAAAATCCCATTGATTCTTATCTTGGCTTTTGTCTTGCAAATGTTGCCTACCTTGTTTGAAAGGCCGCTACTAAAAATCTGAGGGTGATGTCCTCGATTGAGACAATTTAGCATATAATCTTCTTTCAAAGCTCCATGAAAAGACTTTTCATTAAGCGTGCACCCTTAATGAAAAGTCTGACCAAAAGTCTTTTAAAAATATGGACCCAGAAGCTAGTGGGAGTTTAAAAAGACCAGAGAGACATAAATCATCTTAGAGGAATGAAATATAGAGCGAGAGCATGAAATGGGAGGGTACACGAGAAACAGAAGTTGAATAATTTTCATAACTATTAAAGAAGTACAGATTATGCTTCCCTGGAGCCCATTACCAACATTATCAGGGGTAATGAGCTTAATAATTTAATTGGGATGTTTCACAAGTTTGAGGTAAGATAATTCCCAAATAATAACCATTAATGGCATCCATTTGATAATTAGTTTACACCCCAGAGTGGCTAAGAGAAGGAAAAAAAACACATGAATTTGTACAGTGAAAGCTGGGGCGTCATCCTCACAGCTCACCTTGATTAAATCAATCTGACCTTTACTTTTATTGTCATTTCATTAAATAACAATTCAGTCCTCCTCTGTTTGCATGCCTGATATATCACCGCTATTCTAGACTAATGAGTTTTCCAGACGTGTTTTTAGTATTAGAAGATAACCAAAGCTGCTGTCAGTTTCCATGTGACCCTGCCAACGGGATGTGAGGAGAATGCTCCGACCTGCAATGTCGAGTTCCACGTTTTTGGTCTGACATGTCCTGCTGCAATACAAAAATATGTGGGCCTCAAAAGCATGAAGCATTGAATCAAAGTAAATGGTGATGAATGGAAGCAGTCAAAGAATAAAAGCTGCATYGCAAATGCTTTTAGCAACCGTCCCCCTTCTTTTTTTTTTTTTCCTCCAATTTCTCTCTCTTTAGTCCAGACTCCATAAAAAGCAGCTCCGCACTGCAAGCTAATTACTCTGCAGGTACAATTTTTGWGTTGGTTTTGTTCAGAAAGCAGTTATGTATGGAGAACGTGATTTGTCAAATGCGTGTATGTAAATTTGACTGCTGCTGAGCGTGGCTTTTAATGCAGCTAATGTGACTGCGTGGAGTTCAGACTTGAAGATATGTAAATGCCCCTCAGCCCAAGTTCAAAAAACGAGCTATGTGGCTAAATGTCACTGAAAAAAGGACCAGGGCGCTCATTCGTACATGACATAGAAAATTTTAGCTGCTGTCGGATTAGTGAAAAGCACTGCRTGTGTGAAAGAGGCTTTAAAATCAAAACTCGTACACTCTAAAAATAGCCTGGTAGAAGTTCTTMGTACCGTTCGGTTGGTGCAGATGGGTGTGAATGCGTTGGTTCCACAGGTAAACAGCCGGTTTCCATTTACCAGCAGCACCCTGATGTAGTTCTGACACTCCTCCTGCAAAAACACAGAATGCAGTTAGCAGTTAGAAGYGTTTCCATTATCTACCCACTGGCAAGCAGCAGCATTAGGCAGAGGGGCCAAATTACACTTTATGCCAATAAATAGGAAAAGCACCTGGAACACCAACAGGGCTGCGCCGAAACGTGGCCAAGTTACACAGAGTCAAATCAAGGCTAATGCCTACACGGCTTAGCTGTGTCACATCTTAATTCAGCTGGGACAAGATCTGGAGAGGAATCTTAATACAGCGGAGACCAGATAAACGCAACAGGTGTGGGGGAGAGGGCCACTCAGGATTAGTTTAGAAAATTGCCTCCAGCTTTGTTGGCCGGTCAGAAAGAGACATGGAAATTGTCTCGTACACTTCTTTCAATCATKTTTCTCTTTAGCCTGCTGCCTCCGCTAATCAATTCACACCACTTTTCTCTAAATTTAGGGTGAAGTACATGCTCACCAGTCTTTTCTTGGCTCTTTACTCTTCTCTGGGTGTCAAGAAAAAAAACACACACACACYCAGTGCTTGGTTAATAGCTCTCAACATGTTGAGCGGAGCTGACGGTGTGAATGATTGATTGAATGACAGATTGGCGTTGAACTTCTTGAACTCCTGACAGAAAGGTCTGCCTTTCACGGAGGCTTGCCAGTGCTTTCCATCAGCGAAAGTCACGGAGTGTAAATGGAAAAGCAGTCAGTATTCATTTCAGAGCGCGGCATTTGGTTTTTGTCGCGAAACAGAGCCATAAACTTGTAGGGGTACCCTCCATCTAACAGGGGCCACGGCTGGGTTGGTAAGGGCCCCTTGTAAAAGTTTAAAACCTTGTAAATCTGCTATTGTTTGAGCCACTAAAGGTGCCTGGAGTAGCCCCTCCTCCCACTCTCAAGGGTCTGATTTAGGAGTGGAGGCTGCCTTAGCAAYGAGGAAGAGAGTTTTATTTCCCCGTAGCAAGGTGAAGGTTGATGCGTAAAAACAAACTGCTCCACGGTCCTAACCGTACCCAACTATATACAGTATGTGTGTGTCCTTATATGCCTTCAAACCAATTGTCACCATGCATACCTTTGTAGTGTTTGTGCAGCTTGTTATGCTGCTGTAAAAGTGTTCACATAATTCAGTTCTTCTTTCGAGTTCAGTTCTTTGGTAAATAAAGGTATATTTAACATTTACCCWGCTTTGACTCATTTATTCCTATTCATTCCTGACAAATTTTCCACATCTGTACCATATTACAGAAGGCGTTGCAATCATAAAACAMAACAGAGGCAGTAATCACGTCCTGTCAAGGTGATTTAACTCTTATTCCTTATCCTACTTGAAATAAATCAAATACACAAGAAAAGGGAAGAGCGGCTGCTTGTGTTAGGAGGGGGAAAAAGGATGCAATCATTGGCAAATTCACTTAAAGCACTGGGATGGTATCTGTGTAATAGCTTAAGCTACAGTATATTGCTGTGCATTGAGCAAGGTAATAAACCATAAAAAGCCTTGTCAACTGTTGGGAGGAAGAAAAAAAATTGTTTAATGCTATTCTTAGTGTACATCACAGAAGCTGATCCTCGGAGGGGAACGCTGAGCAAAACAATGCAGCTCCACCAGACTGCAGTGACTCCCAAGGACTGAGGCAGCTTTGCTCTGTAATTCACTGCAGCGACCATGTGCTGGCCAGCCTGTGCAGACCTATTATGGGTCCCTAACCAGCTTTTCACTGGAGGATAAATACACACACAGAAAGCGAGGCTGGGCAGTTCACCTACAAGTCAAGTTCAGCTCCAAACCATCTGTTTTGGATACAAGGCTCTGCCAGCTAACCACGCACTAAAATATACACCGCAAAGAAAAACTTAAAACAATAGAAACTCCCTTTTGTACAAACTCTATAAATAAAGGCGTAAGTATAGCTGAGGAACATTTTACTTTACAATCGGTTGATTTAAATTCCCTTTGAGGTCACAGTCAAATTCCCTTGGTGTCTTTTTTTCCCCAAGACTGCTTAAAGAGCCTTGTGTTGCTTTCAGACCTTCCTGCTGTATGTTTTTTTTATTTATTTGCTTTTAATCTTTTAAATAAAACGGTGTTTATTTTTTTCATTTACAATATAGAAATTTAATAAAAGAGATGATACTAATTAGCACTGATAAGCTTGTGGGAAATTATAACATTAAAGACCTTCAGTTCCATTTAAGTACTTTTTAATTGTTATTTCTTTTAGATTAGSAAACACGGGAACATGCAGAATGATCAAGGGTGTTGCAGCTTTGCATTTTAGAAATATGAAATCAACAAATGGGGAAATTTAGGCACCTGTTTGGGGAATGCCAGGTAATCTACATATTTCTTTGAAAAATTAACTYGGATGTTGCGCTTCTCGTCTTTGCTCTCATCTGAGGAGCTTTCTTTTTTTGTGYCGGAGAAGACTGGTTGAAAAGTGAAACATCTTCAAGTAGCAGAAAAAGAAGTCAAGCTGACTCTTATTCCACTTGCTAGAGTTGCCATGCCCTGGATTGTKTAGTACCTGCACCAGCACAGAGAGAATTTTATCATTTACTGCTAGATGATGAATACTATACAATACCTGCTTAGACTTAGCATGCTAGTACTGACATTTTGACCAGGTTAGCTTATCAGTATATTGAATYAAATGTAGACTGACTGGCAGGGGTGGAGCTACACTTTTTGCAAGGGGTGGCCAGGGTATTTTTAGGGTGGCACATACAAATAAAGAAAAACACTCTGGATTTGAAAATTCAAGATGGTCGCCGCAGCTAATACAAAATGGCTTTAACTCGGCTGTTTTAAGAAACATTGAGACAAAATTTAGTTTCACTATAGCTAACATTGATCAAAAACATGCTGAATGGTAGTCACACCATATTAGTCAGCCATTTTTAGACATACAAAGCTGAAAATAAGTGTAGAAGTAGCTGAAAACAGTCTTTGCCAAATTCTAAATGCTAATGAAGAATTCACCATGGCCACCACAGCTAACTTTAAAAGTATATATTTCTTGTCATTTTAATACTTAGAGATTAAGTTTGTTGTGGAGTAACTAAGAATGATCACGATTGCCAATGATAAACCTAAATTAAGCTAAGCCACAATGATAATCCTAATTTTACATAGTAMAATATTTCAGCCATTTYAAWCATACACAGCTGAAAATTCATACAATAGTATCAGAGAAGAAACTTGAACAAAATTTAAATGCAAATACAAAATCTAAGATCTCCACCWACTTGTCCATTATGTTTTTTTTGGGGTGGACAATCAGGTGCCAGGGCAYTTTCCACCCCAGCCACCCATCTGGCTCCGCCCCTATTGACTGGACTCTCTCAGGGGTTACATTACAAAAGCAATAGAAAGAGTTGATTATATGTTGCCATCTGCCAGAGGCTACGCTTGCAAAAGTTAAACTGAAGTTGCAAAGGTCATACAGTACAACTAAAGAACAAAATGAAATCTTTTTAAAAGTTTATTTATTACAAAAACTAAAGCTTGTTGTTCTCAATAGTGTGACAAGTGTCTGGGAAAGCCATATAATTGAGAGTTAAACTTACCTCAGATTTTCCACGGCTGAAGCAGGCTCCCTTGGTGAATTCATCGCAGTGCCACTCGGCCTCCTGCAGGGACAGAAAAAAGGTTGCAAGATTCCCATCAAAACATCAAGATGAAGCAAACGCTGGACACTATGTCAACTCAAAGCACTCCGTAAACTAAAGAACACAAATAAAGCATTTATCTGATTCTCTGCATGGAGAAGGTCCTACCAAGTTTTCTGGAAATGTTACTGTTCGTTTACAAACTAGGTAATTACGTACTACAAAAAATAAAAAAAATAAAAAAAGAAGAAACAAAACTAAACATTGTAAAGCGTACAGCACTGACTAACACTGACTTGAGTTAGAAGAACTGATTAAAACAAAACCAAACAGTGAGTAAATTGGACATCAAATCTTCTGTGTACTCTCAAACCAACACGCATGCACTTGTACCAGCGCACACACGCGTCATGACCCACGTTAAACACAAACACAGAATCCAATTAAGGTGCATACCAAGCAGAGACCTCAAGAAATGAGAGGCGAGGKCGCGTAGAGCTACATGTCAGTTTGATTTATGTGTGAGGAAAAAGACTGAATCTTAAGACATATCAGGCAGGTCCCTTGAGTAGGATGTCAGTGTGATTTACATGTGAGGAGGAAACGGAAGGGACCCTTTTTAAATTTTAAAATGCTTGAGAGAAGAATAGGAAGATAAAAGCTTCTTGTCTCCTTTGAGGGTGAAGCTACAGTTTCTACTTTTTTATTTCAGCGAGACCTCTGAGGTGGGGGGGTCCTCGTCATTGATAAAAATTCTCTTTACTTGTAATGACGGCTGGCCTTGAGAGGRCGCTGGGCCACTGAATCTTTCCCCCTTGTGACAGATAGAATTAGMTGTCACAGCCACCAGGCTCTGCACGAGTGGCAGAGAAATTACCAACCAGAAACATGGTAACATGTAAGGTTGTAAATATGATAAATATTTAAGAATTTCCGAATGTCGGGCTCACTATAAATCTGAGGGTGCCACACCCAAACCTAAAGCCATAATAGAATTTCAGGAGTTTTATGTTGTTATTTTGTAGACTTTTAGAAAAATACTGCAATATGGGAGTTGGGGAATCATCTGATATTGGTCTACTTCAGTTTCAKTATTTATAATTGAAAACTGAGAACTGCACAGTCACTAYTCAACTTATRGAATCCTCTTCTTAAATTATATTCACAAATAAATTRGCATTCCTTGAAAAAAATACAAATTGCTCATGATGTTTTATGCCTGGTTAAATTGATTCTAAAATTGATGGCTGGTTTTCTAACACTGTGAGACCCCACACATGAKGATGATAAAATAATAGATTTAACAGGTTTGGTCTTATRGTGTGTGGTGTACAGCMACATGGCAAAATACAACACAACACACAGGAACAGACTTCACTCATAAACATTTAGATGTCAGACAGGAAATCATGCGAGACCTCTTGAAATCAAAGAAGCACGACAAAGAAACAGTGGTGATAGTTTGTGGACCGTTTTTTAACAAAAAAAAAACAACTAAATAAAAAGACATCTCTGAGCCATGGCAGTTGTTTTCTCTGCTTTGGATTACCCTCTTTGTTTCCATCACCTTGTTTTCTGATTGGTACACGTCCCATTCAACAGGCTCGTTTGTTCTCCAGTGAATGCCACACATGCTGGGATATTGGGCCAAGACAATCCAACGTGTGGAGTATCTCAGATTAGAGATCGGAGCGACCAGACGTCCTTCTTAGCCGACAAGATCACTCTTAACACGTCACACACGGCAGGAATATCTCATAAGATTATCTTTAGAGCCATCAGGATAATCGGAGCATCCTTGACGGAAAGACAAAATTGGGCCGRAATTTCTTTGGCTGTGTAAACCCAACAGTGTTTGGAAAATATGAYGGGAACAATTTTCAGCTCCAACCACACMAAATWTGAGCTCAACATCTGTAAAACTGTTTTGTTTTGTTTCTTAGCTGTGKCGGCCATCTTTAGTAAGCCTGGGTTCAAAAAAATTATTTGTTGCAAATATACCTCCAATGATTCCTTTCCAAGGTTGTCATCCACATCCGCCCAGTGGTTAATAAGAGATCTTGTGTAAGGTCTGCTCATAAGATTGACCATGGTGGCTAGTGTAATTTATGTTTTTGTTAGCTTTGTTCAAAGTATATTTTGTGTTTTTTTTAATATTTGTATATAATTTCTGGGTTTAGTTTGCTTTCCTTGTGTTTTCATTTTCCCAGTGTGCCATCATTTAATCTGTTCTCAGCTATTCCAGTCAGCCTGCCACTCTCACCTGTTTCCAGTCAGCAATTTACTCAGCTGCCTCCATTTTCCCACCTCTGCTTTATATATTCAGTCTCCTTTCATCTCCATGTCAGCAGTGCATTATTTGTATCATACAACAGTCTGATTTGTGCACGTTGGTCTCCTCTGTATTCCCATCTGAGCATTTTGTTAGAAGCTGCCACGTCAACCTTTTGTTTTCATTTTTGKAACAAAGATTTTTGTTGTTGTTTTCGAGCTCCCCACGTTGAATTTGCATTCTGGGTTCCGGTCTCCTACCCCTACCTGACAGGAACTTCATCCCATGTTTCAAGACAGACATTTACTTTGGGGCTCTGTTGCCTTTGGGAGGCACAGAGGCATCTGTATGTACAGCCACTCATAAATGCACACAGAGGCATCAACTTAAGCCAGTCTACAGGGAAGAAGCAGCTCAGGGTGTGTGGTACTGTTCAGGGAGGATGAGATATGGAACATTAATGGTAGCTGCCTCATCTGTGTCTCCTGTGTGTAGTTCAGCTTGTATTCCAGACCGAAGCTGGCTATTCTGGGGGCTGTGCACGCAGATACAAACCACACACATCAGCAGCCGAGGCTGCACACACGCCGCCGAAGCGTGCCCCAGCTGAATTTAACGTGGGGGCTGAAAAGTGCTTTTGCTAATCGCAGGGGGCGGAAGAAAACTTGTTAATGGCCTGAAACCTTGCTCACTCATGTTTGGTGTAAAAATCAATCATAATCCAAAGCAAAATTACAACTTGAGCTCACATTAATGAGAGAAAAGCGGTAGCTTTGTTGTTACTTGGCGATTGTTTAATTTATCATCATCTACCAGAGTTAAGAGTTTTTTTTTTTTAAGCGATTGTTTAATTTATCATCATCTACCAGAGTTAAGAGTTTTTTTTTTTTAAATCGGAAGTAGCACTTTTTTTTACTGTACCTTTAACACTTAATAGCTGCTGAAGTAGGTGACAAACATGAAGCTTGTAAGTGGGGGATATGCTGGCGTCATTGACCACAAAAGCCACCTAATCTGACTTTCCGGGCTCAAATGGTCCAAAGTAAAGAACATAATCAAAGTCGCACAATGACTAGCTTCAGGTCATTAAGAAACATTAAAAGCTCATTAGCATGCTTTTGTTAAGGTCCTTTGCTCCTGAAATGAAGCTGTCTTCAACTGAATGTACAATGTGCTGTTGTTTAATCATATTAATTCTTGGCATTATCAGAGAAAGCTGCTTTGAAAAGGCCTTTTGTTGTGCCTTTGTGGAATAAAGAATGGGGAAAGAAAGCAATGCCAAAGAGTGGAAAGGTGACGGCCAAATTTAGTTTGAGTTTGGTGYGAACAACACTGAAGCTTCACACATTTAACGGTTGTTGTGAACAGAATGGTTCACTTCTACAGCCATCTTGAMCGGTGTTGACTACAAACATTCTGTTGTAGACAGAGTTGGTAGTTTTATTTAAATCACAGTGTCGCCCCTTCGCCTTCGGCAGCAAGTCTTAGTTGGATAATCTTTTGAAAAAAATAATAAATGTAAATTTAGCACAATAATTTCTTGTTCCAGAGAAGATGAAGCAAAATTCTTGAAATGTTATGTTCCACAGTGCGCCCTCTTTGCTGCCCTCCTGCAACAGCCACGGATCCCAGAGATGAACCATTGTRCTCGTGCCTCTCAACTGCTCTTAGACTGAGGGCTATTGTCACCACAGGGTGGGTGAACGAGACATGGAGGGAGAGTAGGCAGGGGAGAAGACAAACAGAGACAGTGAAGAGGATAGAAAAAGAAGAAAAGGACAAATAGATGGGGGGAAAAAACCCCCAAAAAACAAAGAAAGAGGAGTCCAACCTGGGCGGCGGCCAAAACAAAGAGGATTGTGTGGGCAGGGTGGCGAGCAAAGGAGGTGGGAGTGAGGAGATGAATTCCAAAACAACCATTKCCAGACATGATACTGAATATATTTGGCATAAAGAGGGTCCGGAGAACACACTCATTGCTGACGGCTGTCTGGCTTTGTGAAAAGACGAAGCTGTGTGTGTCTCACTATGAGTGCGGGACAAGAGAGCTGGACAAATCCTATTTGGAAGTGGGGGATCTAATAAGACTTATGAGTAGCTGATATTACCGTTTGATGTGCTCACATATATTTACTATTCACACTGATGTCTGCTGATGTAAGCTGCTGAAAGATTTACACATGAAATTGGTCTTGATGTTATTTCTCAGCGAGTGTGTAGGCCCGAAACACAACACACATCAGAACACCTTAAGATGAGAAGTCAGTGTAGAAGTAACCCCCAGCTTTACTCATTACTACCTCAAATGACAATCCTGTTGCTTGCAAATGACATCATATCGGAATTCAATATGCAGACTTCAATTCTAATCATGCTTTTCATTTGATGCATATATATGACTACGTTAGTGCTCAGTAATTATTGCCAGCTGCTGAAAGCGAAGGTGGGGCAATATTGGTTTTGCCAGTGTGTTCATTCACCTGTAGTGTTTTTTTTTTTTTAAATAAAACTTTCAGAAAGTTATCGAGTTGACAGTGACAACTTATTGCCTTTTGGAGTCAACCTGATTCAAGATGTCATAAAGCAATCTTAACACAACAAAGGGTATTACTCAGCAAGTTTACAGCTAACATTTGGCGTGGTTGTAGCTGAGCATTGTCCTCAACGCATACTTTGGGCACACACATTCTTWAAGGTCGTCTTTCTTTAAAAAAGTTTTTTTTGTGTATTTTCCAGGCAAATTATTCA